CCGCGGCAGCCCCTCCCCCATCCCGGAGCAGCGGCCCGACACCGGCACCTTCCCGGCGGGGTAGGTATTGGGGGGTCGCGGGCCCGCGGAGGGGCACAAACCCGGGGGAAACGGGGCTCCCCCCGCCTCTTTGTTTTTGCGGAGCGAGGAGGGGAGGGCGGGCGGACACGCGCGTTCGCACTGGGGTGGGGGGGCTGCCGGGCGCCGCCCGCTCGGCCGGCGAGGACAAAGGCGCGGCTGGGGACGCCGAGGAGGAGGGGGACGCCGATGTTGCAGCCTGGCCTTGGGGAGACCCCGGCCCTTAGGCCGGCCTGCCTCCCCTTTCCTCGGCCAGACCCTTCGAGGGCCCCAGTCGGCTGGGGCGGCCACCATGGGCTGTTGATTTGGGGACACCAAGGGAGGAGGGCCGCGACTGGGGTGCTGGGGGCAACAGACACTGTTGATTTCTGCTGCTTGCCAGAACCCTGGGCTCTTTCACTGGACAATCAGCTGCTCCCCCCTTCATTATCCTTTGGCCCCGAGTGCCCCAAACCTGGGGGTCAGTCTTCCTTCTTTCTTTTGGATGGGGTGCCTGGAGGTCCTGGGGGGGGGAGCTGAGGATTGTGGTCACTGGGCCTCCAATTGTTTTCCTTTGTGGAGCGAAAGGGGTGGGGGCTATTTATCATCTTGGATTCTCACGTTTCTGTGTGCGGAGTCGGGGTTGCGAGCCTCTCAGAAACCTAAAACTATGTTTGTGTCTGGTTATCTTTAGAGCGAGGGTTCCCTAGCTCCTCCCAACACCCCAAACTCAAAGTGGGGTGACACCCCCCCTCCCCAGCCCCTCTCTCCATGCTCCTACACATTGTCTGTTCACAGAGCTTTCCTCTGGCAGAAGGGAAGACCCCAGTTTGGGGGTACTGATGGGCTAAGTCGTTTTGGAATGTCTGCTTTGGGGTCTCTGTTCAGCCTTGGTGGGTCCAGGACGCGCTTCTGATTTTTATTTTAAAGGTCCGGTGACTTGGACCCTGGCTCTGTCGGGGAGGAAAGAGTGAAAACACAAACAAAAAAAGCTGCTCATGTGCTACTTAGTGGTGATAGTTTTTCTAATTTTTTCACCACTGTAATCTTCATTTCCGCTCCCCCCCCCACCCTTTGCGGTTTACTAGCCCTCCCAGAACGGGAGAAGCCCTAGAGGAACTGAGAAGCCCCTCCCATCCTTAAATCAAGCCATTCACCTCCCCTCCGGGAGACTTTGGGATCTATGCAGGTTGGTGGAGTCTAGGCCCTCCCTGGGGGTCCTGGGGGAAAGGGGGAGACCTTGGTGGATCTGGGTGGCAAATCTGTGGTGGGCACCCATCGGGGTAATGTTTGGGCCCCGTTTCCTGCAGACTACTGGGTGTATGAGAGGGGACAGGGGTCATGGGTAGTATATTTATGTAAGACACTGGGCCGAGGGCACAGTATTTATATAACCTGGCGCGGTATTTATGTAATATAGGATGTGGGGTATTTATGTTCCTTTTTGTAACCTGCGACTTCCCTGGGCCCCCATGTGTGGTCTCTGAATTGGGGTAGGGAGGCGGCTGGTGCCCGCCGGTGCCCCCTGCGTGCCTGCTTCCCAGGAGTGTACACATTGAGGCAGCGGGCCGGTGTGTGTACGTGCGGTGTGTGTATAAGGGGCGTGCAGAGCGGGTTTCTTGCAAGTGTGGAGTTGTTGTGCTGGCAGCCGTGGCACCCAGGCCGGGGCCAGCCGGGCGCGTGGGCAGGAGCCCTCGCCAGAGCCGGAGTTTGGCTGGCACCCGGAGGAGGCGATTGCCCTGTGCTTCCTGCAGGCAGGGCCAGGGCCTGAGCACTGGCCCCTCCTGGGCCAGCCTGGCTTTGGGGAAGGCCTCTGGCTGGCTCAGTTGCTTTTCTAGCTTCCTGTTTTGCTGCGGGGCTCTGGTGGGTGGCCATCAGGAACCCTGTCTGGGACCTAGGTGACACTCTGCCCCTAACTTGTAGTGTGGTCGTATGGGGCAGGTGTGACCTCTGAGCTACAGTGCCCTGTCATCTTGATGGGCCTTCCTTCTGTAAACTCCTGAAGTCTTAGGGATCCCCTTGCACTCTTTTTTTCCCTAGTCTTCTGTTTCCTGTTCACTCACCAGTAGACATCTCCCCACCCCCACCCCAACTAGGGTCAAAGCTCCTGCTTGCCAACCCAGAGAAGAGATCACCCAGCTGGGGTCCCAGAAAAGAGGGAAGCTTTACCAGGCAGAATCTGCCCCTCACTGAGACTCTCCCTCCTGGTCTTGATGGAAGCCAGCAGCCCTTCCAAAGATGAGGGTGTGGGGGGCCGCCCACCCCCCCACCTTGAGGGCCTTGGTGCCATGATGGGGAAGGAGAGGGGATTGGAAGCGAATATTCTGGGGAGCACTTCTGCTTGCTCCCTCACCGGGGCTGAACCCACTCTCCTGAATGCCAGGCCTAGCCTCTGGGCTTATGGGGTCCTTGGGAGAGCCAGCCCAGGCTATGGGGGAGTCTTAGCAGGATAGGCCTGGGCTAGACAATGGGGAGCTCAGTTTTCTTAGTGGCCCAAAGGGATGTTTGGCCGTTTCCTTCTGGACCTCGTACCCTATCCCAGCTTTATTTTTAACTCAGCCTCAGCTATCCTTCACCTGATCCCTGCTGAGCGTCCTGTGGGCCTGAGGCTCCCGACGCTAGGACCCCTGGGGTACAGCAAGACCACATCTCTTACTGGATGGAAAGTGGAAATGAGAATGTCAGTCTTCCTTGTGGCCTCGCCCAGCCTCTGGCGGGGTAGAATGGGGCCTAGTGTGCGGGGCACCCTTTCCTAAGCCCTTCACCCCATTTCTCTGACTCCATTGTCGTCTTCTGTCTGCAGCCATTGAACCATGGAGCTCCGTGTGGGAAATAAGTACCGTCTGGGTCGCAAGATCGGCAGCGGTTCCTTCGGAGATATCTACTTGGGTAAGTCAGGCGGGCCAGGGCGGGGCTGAAGGCCTGGGACAGCCCTGAGGACAGGGAGGAGGAGCACTGAACTTTTGAGATCTGAATTGGGACCTGGCCTTGGGGTACCAGCAACAATTTTAGGCAGCGTGTCCCCAGGCCATCTCCCTTGGGGAAGGAAGCAGAGGTAGGGACTAGGCTGGCCAGGGGTTCCTCTCACAGCAGGAGTGAGGGCTCCCGCTTCGGGGCTTGCTGCAGGCTTGACGGCGGCAGAGAGTATTTTTAGATCTGCCTCATAGCTGCAGTGGACCTGGGTCTCCCACAGGGCGTGGGAAAGCCTGTGGGTTAGAGTCCTTTGACTCCTGCCTGCTGGGAGAAGGATGCTACTGCTTGCTCTCCACACCCCATCCCCCCCCCCAGCCCTCTTCCCTGGGGTCTCACATCCCACACCCAAAACCTGAGCCCTGGCCAGGCTTTCGGATGACATAGTTTTCTCCACTCCTGGCATCTGCACTCCTTAGGGGGGTATCTCTCTCTCCGGATGTGCTTCCTGTTGAAAGTCTGAGTTGTCATTTCTAAAAACATGAGCCTTGATGTTGTCATTTTTTAAAACTTTGCTGACACTTCGTCTCTCTCCTCTGCCTGGGAGAAGTGAGGTTTGTGTCTTCAGACCACGTTCCCAGGCGAAACTTCTGACAAAACCAGCAGCCCACGGCGCCTCTTTTGCAGTTGTAGATCTGGGTAGCACAGAAGGTTAAGCATTTAAGTATTGGTTGAAAGGTTAGTGGTTCATATCCACCCAGAGGTTCTTCAGACTACACTCTGCTTCCAAAGGACCCTGCCTTGAAAACCCTGCACACATAGGGCTCAGTGTGAGGTATGTTTCTGAGGGGCCTTAATTAATCCCCCTCAAAAATATTAAGGGGGAATGGAAGGAGGGGTGTGTGCCCTCAGCACTTCCTGGCCCAAGTGTGGACAGGGCCCTTTCCAAGTGAGGATCCCTACACCCCCTTCGGTGGTGCTGGGTTGTCCCATCTCACTCAGCAGGAAAAGAAGGGGTAGCAAAGTCAAGGTGATGGTCCAAGGTCATGTTACCCAAAACTAGCAAAGCCAGGTTTGTACTCCAAGGCCTGCACACAAGCTAGATTGTGGAGACAGCAACCAAAGAGAGGGTTCAGTGGAGATGTCTGTCAGTGGAGCTGTCCAAGTGACACAGCCAGGCCTAGACATGTTTCCTGGGGGCTGCTCTCTGCTGTGGTGTCCCCATCTGCAAAGTTGGTGTGTTGGTGGAGTGTGACTGTCGCAGTGGAAATGACCAGTGTACCAGTATGCGTGTGTCCAGTTCACTGCTGCACGGTTCACAGCGTGCCCTCTGACCCGAACACCCCGGAGCTCAGAGCACAGGGACCCGGGTGCTGCTGGGCTTGGTTCCAGCCTCCTCACCCCACGGTCCCTTGCTCACTGGATATGACTAAGACATGAGGACATGGGGCCTGCAGAGGTGCGGGAGCAGACCTGCTTCCTGGCGGAGAAAGCTGACACTGGGGGCAGGTGTGAGTTCAGGTCACGGGGTTTAGTCCTCATTTGCCTCGTGTCCTTGGAGATGATGCTTCCTCACCCTGGGCCTCAGTATGGCCATCTGTGAAATGGGAGGACCCATCTCCTTGGTGTTATTATCAGCTTCTGTTGAGTTGTCTCGGACACATTGTATATAACTAGTGGGAAACATTGCCTGGCCCTGTACCATCTCACCTCTCCTGACTCTTGTGACATGGGGAATTTGGGGTGACTATAAAAACTCTTGTTTTTGAGATGCTTGCTCGAGTTCTGTACTGAAGCCTCAGGGCACAGAGGCGCAGACACACGCTGGTCTCAGATGGCACCCAGTCCAGGCGCCTGTCGTGGTGAAGGGAATCTGAGCCCCAGCGAGGGACAGGGCAGCCCAAGGTCACTCAGAGTCCATGTCCCTGTTCCGGGTGCTGGGCCCTCCCCAGGGGCAGGACTTCCTGTTTATCCTCTGAGTCTTCTGTTGTTGTTGTTGCTGCTGTTAGTTGCCATTGAGTCGCAGTTCATTTTCCAGTTCATCATGACCCGACCCTGTGTGACGTCCAGCACATCCTCAAAATGAGATTCAGAGTTGCTGCTCTCTGCATGGCCTTTGGGGCTGGTTCAGCCTCGGTTTGGGTGTTGGTGTTGCTTCTGGCTTGCAGTAGGCCCTGGCGCTTGACCTCTGCCAGCCGTGCTCCCCCGGCAATAAAACAGGGGCAGTGATGCCAGAAGGACCCGAAGGGCAGATTTCACTGAGCCTACTGCTTGTGAGGCCCCTGGCCCAGGGCTACTGCTCCTGGGTGACCGTCCCCTGAGCCCACGGACTTAGGTGACAGCGGTCCTGGATTCTCTTGGGTCTAAGTGTTGGGAGGAGGGCCACAGTTCTTTGATGGTGAGGGCTGAACTTTGCCCTGGTCCCATCCCTCCACATTTCTCGGTAGACTGAGGCCAGAGATGCTTGCTGGTGTCGGGATGGTGTGGTCCTCAGACCTGCAGCAGGTCCCAGGGCTGCCCCCTCCCTGGCCGGCTGGTCAGGCTGGCTTTCTTTGTTCAAAGCACCGGGCACATTCTTGTCCCCAGTGTCCAGGCCAGGGCTCAACACCAGATGGCCTCTGTGGGTGGGGCTGGGCATGGCCCCCAGGCCCTGCTTTCCAGGACCACCCAAAGGTGGCACTGGGTGCAAGGCCTGAGGTTCCCCCAGGCCCTGCTCATTCACTCACCGCCTCCCTTGGCATTTTAAGGAGATAGCAGGAGTGTGGGACCAGTTTGAGGTGCCTTGAGTTGACTGCATGGGGTCCAGAAACAGTGAGTGACTGCGCCCTACTCTGCCTCTAGAGTCTCTGGTTCTTAGCTCTAAAGAAGTGGGGTAACTGCTTCTCTAATGCACGGTTGGGGCTGGGTCTGTCTGAAGAATGTGCCAGGCTTTCCCTCCATAGGGGCTGAAGAGGGGAGCTGTGCTGGCCTAGGAGTGAGGATCTGCCCTACAATCCCAAAGACACGCGGTTCAAATCCACCAGCTGCTCCATGGGAGAAGGATGGGCAGTCTCCTCCCTTGTGATTAACTGCCTCTGTAGACCTGCCCGACGGTCAGCTCTGGGTCACTTCCAACTTGACGGCCCACAGCAGCCGCAGCAGGGGCTGAAGTTACGGTGTTTGGTTTGGAGCCAGGCCCCGGATTGTGTCCATGTGTCTGTAGGAGGGGGTCATGAGGGAGCCCCTCTTGGACGTGGGTCACTTCTCCTCCCACCCAGAAATTCCCGTGGCCCCCCTGCTCCCCTCGAATGACGGGCCCCCATACCAGGTCACCTGTCTCACTGGGGGCCACTTTCTGTTTCGGCACCCTGGGATTTGGTGCCCAGCTGTGCTGCACCCTCCAAAGCTGGGATCCGTGCCCTGCCTTGGTTTCCCCTCAGCAGTTCCTCCCTGCACCTTTTGTCGGAGTCAGAGTTCCTTTTGTTACTTCCCCAGCACAGGGTGGTCTCAGCCCCGGGGCTCAGTATGGGCCTGTTGGTTAAATGAATGAAAGAGGAGGGAAACCTAGATAGAGGGAAAGAACCAGGCACTAAGTTTCATGTCCTGGCTCTGCTCCGTGCCCCGTCCCCCGCAAACTGTGTGACCACAGGCAGATTACCTGACTTCTCTGAATATCAGCTCCGAGGTGGTAGTTGTCACGTGCTCTCAAGTACAGCTCGTAGCAAGCCCTGCTCGATCCTGTGCCGTCCTCATCATCTCTGACACACTTGAGCCCATTGCTGCAGTCACTGTCGATCCATTTCATTGAGGGTCGTCTTCGCTGACCTTTCCATACATAATGTCCCTTTCCGAGGAGTAGCCTCTCCTAGCAACGTGCCCAAAGTATGTGAGACGAAGCGTCACCATCCTGGCTTTAGAAGTAAAACTATTGAAATGAGATCAGAGCAGGGGATTCAGAGGTCTTAGGGAGCCCGGTGGTGGGCGATGGCTGCTGGAAAGAGAGGCCCATTCATTGCAGGACGCAGTTCTGAGCGTGGAGGTATTTTGAAGGTAGGGTGGGGACTGGTTGGTCGCATGGACCCTGTCTCTGGAGCATTGTGTTGGATCACGTGCCCTTTGGAGTTCAGTTTCCACATGTGACACAAGATACAATCTCTCTTTCAAAAGACGGAGTGAGGTTCAGAGATACGAGTGAGGTTCAGAGATATAGAGGCTTCCACCTTCCCCCTCGCCAGCCCAGGGCAGGGTGACCTGTCCAGTGCCTCTCCTTGCACATGTCAGCTGACTCACCAGGCTGAAGTCCCTGGGTCTGTGACCCCACCCTGGGCAGGACCACCAGCACTTCTCACCTGGACAGACAGTGGCAGCTTCCTCCTGGTCATCCTCCCCACAGAGGCTCCAAACAACAGGCTCTGGTATGTGTGTGTGGGGGGACTCAGTTTTGCCCTGCAGGGGACATCTGACAATATCTGAAGACACACTGAAGGCGCCTAGTGGCATGGTGCACAGGGTATCAGGTTGTTGACTGACAGGTTGGCAGCTCGGATCCACCACCTGCTCCATGCAAGACCAACCCCTCCCTGGTTCCCTCTGGTGAAGATTTGCAGCCTTGGAATCAAGTAGAGGGTCGGAACCTGGTGGAGAGGTGGTGTGAGTTGACGTCAGCCCATTTGCACCGAGTTTAGTTTGGCTGGTTGAAGACGTGACTATAAGTGGGTGCTGTCAGCATCTTGTAGGACGAAGCCAGGGGTGCTGCTAAACCTCCTCAGTGCACAACATAGCCTGGCACAGCTGGAGGCTCTGGCCCCAAATGTGAGCAACCCCATAATCACACACCTGCCTGGAGCCTGGAGCCTGAAGCCCAGCATCTTAGCTCGGCATTCAAGGCCTCTGGGACTTGCCCTGCCTACCCCGCCTCTTGGCCTCTTGCCTTGGATGACCCAAGCTCCATCTGTACCAGACCACTCAGGGTTTACTCGGTCCCTCCCCTCCCTCCATCA